CTCTGTTGGAGGAAGACTGAGCACTTATTCAAAACAGACTTAAAGGAGTCCTCCCTCTAAAAACTTTTGCATAATTAAGGAGGACTGATATTAATAAAGGGGTTGTGCAATATCTTTTGTGATATATTAAGAGACGATACTTAGATGTTTTGATATATAATTCTTTCTATGTATTAAGGCTTACATGATAAATAATATATGGTGAATACATTGTAAAAATATAAAACAAAAAATATATAAAAATTATTTGAGATATTTTATAATCGTCTGTAGCTGGTTTTTGGTATTTCCTACTTACGTGGGTCCTATTTTGGTTTTGTGAAGGGCATAAGTGCTGCAGGATAGATAGTGGGAAGACGCCGCAGGCTCAAACTCTTGAGGACGCTTCCCACCACAACCGGCTCTTGTGGCTCAGTGCTTCCCTTTGGCGTGCGACTCGTGGAAACCGAGGGTTTTCCCTCGGCCACATGAAGCGGGAGCCAGGTGTCTCGATCTTACCTGCTGTATAGGTGGAGGCTGTCCTGCCGCTACGATCGTCGTCACGGCTGTCGTGGGCTGGACCATGACACCCTGGGGGTGGGCGGCGTAGATCTGCTGCCCCTGAATATACTGAAGGCCTGGCTGGGCGTAACTCTGAAAGAAAAGCAAGGGCGGTTGGGGGCTCGTTTGAGAAGCTTCAGCCGACTGGCAGCAAAGATGGAAGGAAGACTCCTTGCTGATGGGTGCTTCCCCTGTCAAGCTCGGCCTGATTTTATCTTTTGATTCCTCTCAGACATGTTTGATTTCTTCCAGACCTGTTTGCCCTCGCTTGTCATGTTAAATTCCTGGGGGGGGGAGGGAGCATTATCAGTAAGCATTATCGGAGTGCATAGGAGTAGTTGCTGTAACAATCATAAAGCGCGCCCCAAGTGTCTGGTTCCCCTGAGACTGACCTTGGAGATCTCTATACCAGCCAAGGCTAGATGAGGACATCATATATCCGTCCATGTTGCCGTAGTAGTAAAAGAGGAGGAGATTGGATTTATACCCCGCCCTTCACTACCCAAAGGAGTCTCAGAGCGGCTTACAAACTCCTCTCCCTTCCCCTCCCCACTACAGACACCCTGTGAGGTAGAGGTGGGGCTGAGAGAGCTCTGACAGAAACTGCTCTTTTTCAAGAACAGCTGTGCCACAACTATGGCTTGCCCAAGGTCATCCAGCAGCTGCGAGTGGAGGAGCGGGGAATCAAACCCAGTTCTCCCAGATTAGAGTCCGCGCACTTAACCACTACACCGAACTGGCTCTATTAGTCCAGAACTCCTTAAACTAGGCACCTAGGGGGTATGCATGATGTGGTTGTGAATGGAATTTTAGGGTTTTACCTGTAACCCGTATGTTCCCGTGATTTTTCCTCAGTCCTAACAAAAGCTCTTGAACCCACAGCAATCATATCTCTAATATGCAGAGGATTTATCCTCTGGTTAACATTTGAACTGAACAGAGCTGCTGTCAGTTCTAGCCCGCGCTGGTGTGAGCTCCCAGCCTTGTCCCCAGCTCGCTGTCCACCCAGCGGTTTGAAAGCTTTGGCAAGTAGATAAAATGGGTACCACTCCTTAGAGAGGGTGGGCATACTAAACCCCCATGGGGGAGGTGTTAGCCGGCGAACAGAAGGTCCAGCTCGTAAGCTTGGAAGCCTGGAAAAAAGACCTCTTCAGCATTAAGAAGCCTGTGATGAGCCAATCCGGCCAGGCGGTGGCAGTGCGGCACTACGACTCAAAAGCAGTCCTGGAAGAACTGACGTCATCTAGCCACGCCAAAAAAGTGAATGCCGTCCGGAACACGCCTGAGGCTTACAGCTGAACAAAATCCCCGTCGGCTGCAAAAGTGTGCGATTTAAAGAATTATATATTGTCCTCCCTTACCCCCTATGAAACATTGTTAGGCCCTTGTGAAAACTTGTGTAACTGTAAATCGCTCAGAGCCAGCAGCTCTGCAGGATGAGCCGATCAATAAATCAAAAAGGTATAATAAAGCATTACACTGCCAATAGTGTGTGTGGAGAGTGAATTAGCTGGGGACCTGAAACCCCACACTAGGATTCTTGTTAATGATTGGGGGGCAAATGCCTCAAACATTCATTCTTCTCAGTGGACACCCTGGGCTAAGTAGTTCCTCCCATCCACTCCAAGAGATAAGGGCCAAAACATTTAATCCACTCCCAGAAGAGGTGCTGTAATGCAGTGGAGGAATCCAGCAGTGTGTGAGCAGAGTCCCAGGTTCCAATCCTGCCATCTCTATTTAGCCTGCAGAAGGAGGAAAGACCCCTGCCAAAGATGTTGTCAGGACAAACAGCACTGGGCTAGATGGACCAGTGGGGGGAGAGAGTGCCTTCCAACTACAAGGGGAAGAACAGGGGGGGTTGGGGGGGGAGCATTCAGAAGATAAATGAAAGCAACCTTGAACGTAGCACTGCAAAATCCAAAAATCTAGTTTCATTGGTAGAGGAAGATCAAAGAGAGAAAATACGTGTGTGGTATTTGTTCACGTCTTGTGGCTCTCTGACATCTGACGTTTCTTCTGTGTGGCTCTTACGGTAAGCAAGTTTGGCCATCCCTGGGCTACACAGAGGGCAAGCACCTAAGCAGATCTCGTGATGGTTTCAGGAGGGAGGCTGGAGAACAGCAGAAAAACAGGTTGCTTACCCGAGTCCAGGAAGCCTCAGTGACCAATAGAGATGTGAACTTTTTGGAAATTTTGAAGCTCGGAAACCCCCCCGGTTTTCCCCCAGTTTTTTTCGGGGGAAAACGGAAATTTTCAGAAAAATTGAAAGAAATGCTACATTAGCATTTCTTTTGTCTTTTCTAGATTGAAAATTTGCAGCAGGAGAGGAGCTTGCGTGAGTCACTGCTCACTTCTTCGGGTATCTTCAGAAAGCTCATACTCTGCCACAACTTCTGTTAGTCTTAAAGGTGCTACTGGACTCTTACTCTTTTCTACTGCTAGACAGACTAACACGGCAACCCATCTTGATCTGTCTCCATGGAAGGCACCACATTTAGCCACACAGAATGGAAGTCCATCAACTCAGTGGTGAAGAGGTCTTCCAGGGAAGCTCTTCCACCATGACTGACCTTCTCATTAAGGAACCCCTGTAAAGTAAAGGTGCCATTTCCTGAAACATGGTTGAGAACTCATTTCTGACCAGTGCCTATCCAACTTTTTCTTCAGGTAGCCCAAGGAAGGAGATTCCATAACCTGATTTGGGAGCTCCATTCTACTATTTCATTGCTCGCAAGAACAGAGTCACACGGCAAGTGCAACATCTGGAAAACCTGATGTGCAAAATTATACAGATGTGTGCTAGATGCCCACAGAACAATACAATAAATTCAATCCATCTGTATCTCTCTTTTTCCAGATATTTGAGTGTTTCAGACCTCTGGTCTTTCCTCAGGAACCAATCCTATATAGGAATCTTACATTCAATCTGACTTTCAAGTTGACACTTTCATTGATTTACTTTTCTGTTAACCAATTGGGCAAGGTCGTCCCACTTATTTCCAAGCCTGCTGGTGCTGCTGCCAGAATCAAATGGACCCAGACTATGTTTAACATCTGGAAAACCTCCCAGAAACAGGGCCCCGCCCTTCACTGTACCTCTTCCATGCCTGATCTGACACGTACCTCTTTGCAGGGCCCCTGGTGGGAGCTTCGACAAAGCCAATAAAATTACCTGTACAATTGGCGGCGTGGTCTGCGAATACGGCGACGTGACCCCGTAAACCGTCTGACACGCTTGTCCTTGGTAGTAAATGGCGGGCTGTGACTGTGCCGGGGAGTACGGCGGCTGCACCGCTACAGTCTGCTGGCCGGAATCCCAAACGCTATAGCTCTGCCCTTGCACCGGGGCGGGGGCCGGCACCGGGAGGACTGTGACGCTCTGCTCCTGGTGGACCACGGGATCGGTCTGCGCTACGTACTGCGGGGTCGACACCTCCAGGGTCGTCGCTACGTGCTGAACAACGGGCACCGGCTGAGGAGCGGCCAGGGTTGGCTCGATGGTGTGCCCCACCAAAGCCTGCGGCTGTTCGTAGGCCGCCGGGGAACACATGGGGTCCATGCTGGGGGTAGGGAGCAGCACCTTGCCGGCGTTAGGGTTGGTGGGGTCCACGTAGGACTGCATGGGGTAGCCGGGGGGATAGCCCATAAAGGTGTGGTGGGAGGTGCTGTAGGCCATGGAGTCGTAGGGGAGTGGGGAGGCCATCCCCAGGCTCTGCAGCTGCTGCTGCTGCTTCTGCGCTTCCCGCTGGGCCACCTCCTGCTCAAAGAGCTTCCTGCGCTCTTCC